AGAATCATAGAATATCAGGGTTGGAAGGGACCGCAGGAGGTCATCTAGTCCAATCCCCTGCTCAAAGCAGGACCAATCCCCAATTAAATCATCCCAGCCAGGGCTTTGTCAAGCCTGACCATAAAAACTTCTAAGGAAGGAGATTCTACCACCTCCCTAGGTAACGCATTCCAGTGTTTCACCACCCTCCTAGTGAAAAAGTTTTTCCTAATATCCAACCTAGACCTCCCCCACTGCAACTTGAGACCATTACTCCTTGTCCAGTCCTCTTGTACCACTGAGAATAGTCTAGAACCATCCTCTTTGGAACCACCTCTCAGGTAGTTGAAAGCAGCTATCAAATCCTCCCTCATTCTTCTCTTCTGCAGACTAAACAATCCCAGTTCCCTCAGTCTCTCCTCATAAGTCATGTGTTCCAGACCCCTAATCATTTTTGTTGCCCTTCGCTGGACTCTCTCCAATTTATCCACATCCTTCTTGTAGTGCGGGGCCCAAAACTGGACACAGTACTCCAGATGAGGCCTCACCAGTGCTGAATAGAGGGGAACGATCACGTCCCTCGATCTGCTGGCAATGCCCCCACTTACACATCCCAAAATGCCATTGGCCTTCTTGGCAACAAGGGCACACTGTTGACTCATATCCAGCTTCTCGTCCACTGTCACCCCTAGGTCCTTTTCTGCAGAACTGCTGCCGAGCCATTCGGTCCCTAGTCTGTAGCGGTGCATGGGATTCTTCCGTCCTAAGTGCTGGACCCTGCACTTATCCTTGTTGAACCTCATCAGATTTCTTTTGGCCCAATCCTCCAATTTGTCTAGGTCCCTCTGTATCCTATCCCTGCCCTCCAGCGTATCTACCACTCCTCCTAGTTTAGTATCATCCGCAAATTTGCTGAGAGTGCAATCCACACCATCCTCCAGATCATTTATGAAGATATTGAACAAAACCGGCCCCAGGACCGACCCTTGGGGCACTCCACTTGATACCGGCTGCCAACTAGACATGGAGCCATTGATCACTACCCGTTGAACCGCCCTGGGCTCCGTTCGTGGAAGTATTAATCTACTCGCTGCTTTTCAGCTGCCAAAATAAACCCCGCTATTGACCCAGAGACGTTATTTTTAGCACAGATGTTTTTTGCTAGGAGTCTTTCTAAACACTGATAAATGCCCAGGAAAAAGTCAATAAAATACAACCCGAAATGAAGGGCCCTAAGCATAACATTGCAGCCCAGTTCTGTGCAGGGAAAACCCCTTCTTCTTAATGTCATGAAGCCACCAGTATGGCCCACAGCAATTCCAACTACAGCTTGGCAAGCCCAGGGATCCCGGCAGGGGCATCTTTGCACCCGAGAAAGAATCTGCCACCATCCCGCCACAGCCCGGGAGGCAGGGATAAGGGATCCCCGGGACTCTGTGGGGAAGTTTAGAGGCTGGCTCCCACTCACTGCTCTCACAGTACACGCTGCCTGGACACCTCTGCACACACAGCCCCAGGGAGGGCAGGGGGAGCCCATGAGAAAGGGACTGTGAGGCTGTCTTGCAAAGGGGGAAGGAGCGGCATGGCTCTCAGCTCAGCATGGCTGGGGGAGGGATGACCCCCAACATCCTGGCAGCTACAGGCACGAACTTTATTTCTCCCAGTGGATGCTCCACCTCACCTGCAATGGGGCCCACCCTGGCATGCAATGGGTGACCAGCCACAGGGCACGGAACTGCTATGGCTGGTGGCTGCTGAGCACCCCCCTATTTTTTTTCTGTGGGTGCTTCAGCCCCGGAGCATCCATGGAGCCAATGCCGATGCTGGCAGCTGCCTCCCATCAGTCAGCATTGCTCCCTGCTTCGGACAAGCTCTGCAGAGCAACGAGGAGGAGCCATAGACAGAGTTACCACAGCAGGAGGCTATGGGGAGGTTTTGGGGCTGGCTCCCACTCGCTGCCCTGACAGTGAACAATGCCCAGGCACCCTGCACACACAGCCCAGGGAGTGCAGAAAGGCCAGAGAGCGGAGTGGGGACGAAGCTGCTGCCCTATTGGGATGGGGAACAGCTGGGTGTTAGGGATCATCCTCCCCGGGCCGTGCTGAGCTGGGAGCTCTGCCCTCCCTGGGGCTGTTTGTGCAGGGGCACCTGGGCAGCATGCACCAAAATCTGGCTGTGCTCTTGGGACCAGGAAGCAGCTCTCTTTGCTGAAAGCTTCTTCTGATCAGTCTCCATTGAAAACCCTGCAGGCTCGCTGACAGTGTGCTTACAGACCGCTGTTCAGCAGACAATGGGTTAATGCTGATCTGAGCTGCTGCCGTTTCCAAAGGGCGATGTGGCTTCTGTTTGTAACAGAGTGCAACAGACTGCACCACCCATTGTCCGCATAGACAGGACTAAGGAAGTTGCCCCAAGGAACTGTGGGATACATCCGGAGGGACCCGAGTCAAGTAGGGGCCACATGCACAGAGGAAAGAAATAGGGCTCCGACCCTAGGTCCCAGCTTAACACGGGCTTGGACGCTCCAGTCCTGCAGGGTCCTGGACCCTAGTTTTGAGTCCTAGATTACCACAATTGATTTGTGGATACAAGGGCAGTTAGGCTTGAGCCTAGGCTTATATTCCTGTGTAGATATACCCTTAGTAATGAATCTCTCAATAGCTTACTATAGGATTGGATGCCAGTGTCTTTGGTGTGAGATCTAGGATGCAAATCGGCCTTGGAGAGTGACTTGTCTCTTGGAAGGTGTCCACACTCCTAAGTCCCCCCCAGACAGCTTGACAGTCCTGGTCTAAGGAAAGGGATGTGCTAGCATAACCCACCTTACCTAGTATGACTCTGTCCCTCTCTAATGGCTGGACCACATGGAAGAGTTGTGCTAAAATCACTCGAGTTTGCAAAACTGACAGTTCCCCACCCCGACCTGAAACCATGATGAAAACCAAAAACTTGCACATTTTCCCTTATTCACAATGGCTGCCATCTCCTATTACTCCCAATGAGGCTCAAGCCAGCAATATGGCTGCCATTTCCTTATAGTCCATCTGCTCGTGAAAGTCAGGCTGCCCTTCATAAAGTTGGCTGCCACCTCCCGCTGTTTACAATGAGATTGAAGCCCTGCCCACGAGCAAAATGTTTCTGCCCTCTGTTTTGGGGGCTATACAGGGCACAGGGACTGTGAGGTGCTCCAAGGAGAGTGCTAAAAGTAGATGGAGCAAGTGAGGGGGAGCAGAGCACTGGGGGGAAGAAGGAGACAGATTTAGTGGTGCAGGAAAATGGGCTGCAGGGCGATGTGTGGGACGGAAGGGAGAAGATTGAAGGGGGCTCTGGAGGAAGAGGAGGAGTATTTGCGGGATGGAGCGCTGTCTAGTCTCTGGCAGAGACGTGGTGGTTGGGGGAAATCAGGGAAATGCTGCTTCTTGGAAAAGGCTAAAACAATTGCATAGTATGTGTACTGTGACTTTATCACTTATACCAGGGGTGGGGAACCATTTTTGTATCAGGGGCCATTGACCCACTGAAAAAATTAATGGTGGGCCACACACATTGAACTCACTTGCCCGTGGGGGCTCGGGGCTTCCCACCTGTGGTGGGATGAGCCAGTGCTCGTAGCTCAAGCCCCGGAGGGGCGCTGATATTCAGGGATCCCCCGCACACACACACGGTGGGACAAGCTGGCGCTATCGGCTCCAGCCCCTCAGGGCTGGGGGGTGCTGAGGCTCAGGGCTTCCCACCTGTGGTGGGATGAGCAAGCACTTGCAGCTCCAGTCCTGCGGGCAGGAACCCCTGAGCCTCCCCGGCACCCCCACGGGGCTGGAGATGTGAACGATGTCTTGCCCCGCTGCGGGGGGAAGCCCTGAACCTTGGTGTGCCCCCCGGTGGGTGAGTTGAACGTGTGCGGCCTGAGGGCCAACTGAAAATGAGCAAGGGGCCGGATCCGGTCCACGAGCCATAAGTTCCGCACCCCTGACTGATATCTTTATATGAATAAGTTTCAAGTTCTTTAATATGTATATCTGTAACTCATCAACCCTAACAAGAGTGTAAGTTGTATGTGCAAGTGTGAGGTCAGCAGTCCTTGAACTATTTACGATCCAGCCTTTCTTTTATCCAAGGAAATAAATTTGGAAGGGAGAAAGTCAAGACGGTGACTGGAAAGGGATAGCAGTTCCTCTACGTGATGGATGAGGAGAAATTAAATGCAGTCTCCATCTGAGCAACCAGGGAGAGGCATGAATTTCTGTGTACATTAACGATTGATTTTTCAACCTGATATCATCTCACACGCATCAGCAAAGGAGTACAGGGGAGTTTATAAGTCAAAAGGGAGACAAAAAAAAAACACACCACAATTAGATTTTTTTTTTGAAGTCTCATGATTTTCAGGGGGCTGAACTCATGATTTTGGAAGTCTTAATGTTGGCAGTACTGGGTTGTTGGGTTTTTTGGGTATAAAATAATTGTGTCTGTAACATCAAAATATGCTGCATCTGGGATTTGCTCAAAACCACTGGGCTCTGTCCTCGGCTGCACCAACTTCACACTCAGCGCTGATGAGGAGACTGAAGAAACTGGTTATAAGCCACCTCTGCACTCCCCTGATCCTGGGCCACGTGGGGGACAAAACGGCCTCTGGTCTAACACAGAGGAACCTCAGGGCTGCCCCAAATTACCCCAGATGCTGTGCTGGCCTAGAAGAGGTGGAGCACCGTGCACTCTGCCCTGGACATACAGCTCCACGCTCCTCCACTCCCCCTACGTAGAGGCAGAGCGATGTAGGGAGTGGGTGATACAGAGTTCTCTGTACCTGCTCTCTGTCACCAGAGGTTAATCCTGAGTCAGGGGGATCCTTAGCTGCCCCTTTAGGGCAGCTGCCCAGCTGCTGTCTCTGCTCAACAGGGGCTGAAGCCTGAGCCCACTACGTGCACTGTTGGATGTTGTGATCCTCCCTGGTACCCGGAGTTGAACTCACAACATCAGTGTTACCAGGCACAGACGAAAGGGAGCCGGCTGCTACTTACTGTAGATTCTGTAGTTTGCAGTTCGGGTGTTTTAGCCCCTCACACAGCAGCCGCACTCCGGCCTCTCCCAGTTCGTTATACCCCAGGTGCAGCTCTGTCAGGCTCCGGCTGGTTCTGAGAACAGCAGCGAGATCCCCACAGGCAGCGGCTGTGACACGGCACGATTCCAAGCTGCAGGAGAGAGAAAGGCAGAGAAGGGGGATCAATGCGTGAATGGGGCTCGTGACGGCTGCTCTGACAGGTGGCCCCACCCACCAGCCCCTCTGTCTGACCAATCAGCATCCAGAATGAGTAAGACGTCCTGTTACAGACTCTGTCCCAAGTCCCACCCCTTGTCCAGTGAGAAACCAGCAGTGGGTGGGACTTCCTGTCTAAACTCCACCCCTTGCCCTTTGCCCTTCACCAATGAAAAGTTAGAATGGCCTAGACACTTCAAATCTCTGCCACTGACCAATGAGGAAGAAGGTTTGGGGTAAGACTCCTTCCTAAGCCCCGCCCCCTCGCCCTTTCCACTGACCAACCAGAATTTAAAAAGTTGCCCTTTAAGTCCTGCCCACTCAGGTCTTGACTAATCAGGCTGGACTTGGCACTGATCAGCCCCGGGATGGTGCGACCCAATCAGAGCAGCCCCATCGCTCCAGGGAGGCTGTCGGGGGAGCCCCCCACCCCAGGCAGCTGGGCCAGGCTCAGAGCAGGAGCTGGGAAATCCTGACCCTCCGCGCCCCCGGCACTAGCTCTGCTGCTCCCCTGCAGGACACAGACCTCTCCTGTCTCTGCCCCCAGCTCTGAGCCTCAGGCCTGGGGATGGGAGGCAGCTGCGAGGCCCAGCAGTGGCAGCATCACACCCACGCCCAATGGGAAGGTGTGACAGGACCCCCAGGGTGCAACCTGTGACTGTCGGACCGCTGTGCCCCCTTTACTCTCTATTCTGGGGTGTCTGTCACAATGTCTTACTGGTGGCAAGCAGCAAACCCCTGCAGGTGCTGTTACCCCTCAGTACAACTGCGTGTGTAGCCCCACACCCAGCTAGATTGCGTGAATGCTCCCAGAGCCACTCATGAATCACAGAGAAAGGCATCAACCAAATCCCCCCAGCTCCAAGAGTTGTAGTTTAGGAATATACTGTCTTGCACTGCTCAAGAACCTTTCTTGAGAAATGCCAGTTTATTAATTGGAAATTAAATGGAAAGTGGATAATACACCAGCCTTTGTAACCTGAGCAGATTTCCCAAGCACTTCAGTCAAACTCACTGGTAAGGATAAACATTAAACAAAGTTGATTGATTACAAAAGGTCGATTTTAAGTGATTAGAAGTGATAGGCAAAAAGTCAGTTAGTTTACCAAAGAAAACAAAACAAGTGCACAGTCTGAATCTTAAACCTGTAAGACACGAGGTATTATGTAGAGCAAGCAGTTTTCTCACCCCACTGGATGTTACAGTTCATAATACACAGGTTTCACCCTGGAAACCTGGGCCTGTCTCCTCTGTTAGAGTCTATAGAGCGTCTTTAAATTAATTAATTTAAATTAATTAAAACTTTATTTGAAACATATTTTGCTTCTCTATATTACAGTATCAGAAGCCTCCCCTTCCAAATGACACTCTAAATGGATGAAACTGATCCCGTGTGGACAGAAGAGTGAACAGGATTGTTAGCCTTTACTATTGTACATCAGCTGCATAGCTCAAAGGAATAGTCAGTCATCTTTTGATCCTGACCCCAAGTCAGTTTGACCTCCCACTTGGGGAGACATTTGGAAAAGGCAGGATAGCAGATTGCTAAACTGTGTGTCTGGGGAGAGTGTTATTTTGGGGAAATAGTTACATGAATGCTTGCTGGCAAGGAGGAGCATTTTAGGGGTGCAGAAGTGGGGGGAATAGCGGGGAGAGGGATTTGGGGCTGAATTGAGGGAGGGGGATAAATGGGGATGGGTGGCAGAAGAGGTGAAGGGGCTGAAGTTCTAAGGAGGGCGAAGGACACACAGGGGTGAGTGGCAGGGTGCTTGGGGGAGATAGGGGTGCCTGTCACCCCCACATTCTTCCCTTCGGTATGTGCCAGGATTTGGGGTGTCTGAGACCCATCCCTACCAGCTCATGTGAGCCAGGTTTTGGAGGAGTTGCATTTCTAAGGGTGTCTGAGTCCTGCTCCTTCCATGTGTGCCAGGATCAGGGGAAGCCCTGCCCCTCTGGGTGGGCATTTAGAAGAGGCATGCTCGGAGCAAGCACCAAGAACACACTGTTGAGACTGGGGTGAGAAGCTGGGCACGGGTACCATGTGATAAAACTGTCAAGGTTTTGGGCCATAGAGCACGGATGAGATTTCTCTCACTGGCCCTGTTAGCAGCACATTGCAAACATCTCAAATCATGACCATTATCCCCTTTCCGGTATAACAAAATATACAGGAGGTAGAGGAGCACGGAGAGCTCACAAAGCAACCATGTGGCCTTGTGGAAAAACCACTGGCCTGGGACTATTCCTAGCTCTGCCACTGGCACTGAGTGAGCTTGGGTTAGCCATTTCATCTCTCTGTGCCTTGATTTCCCATCTGTGAAATGGGGATACATGATGTAAAGGTCTTAGAGAGCAACAGATGGAAAGCACGATATAAAAGCTAGGTCTTTTGATTATTACCTAGCCACAGTAGCTTAGCAGCTGCAAACCTAGGTGACAACCACCGACAAACATTTCTCTGTTTAAAAAACGAGCAAATTAAGTTGCAAGTAACTTAGATAACATGTAGTCAAGGCTGCCTGGTGACAGCTTGTGCCCTTCCAGAATGCTGAGTTCAGCGAAACTCAAACTTCTCAAACCAGTAATCACAGAGTTAAGGTAAATACACAAACAACCTTAACTCTGCCCTCTTTGAGCGATGGCGCAATGTGCCACAAACTGGCATTCTGCCTTTTCATCGTGATGCAGAGGCTCTACCTGCACTTGCCTGACACTCAAACACTGAGCCTACTCTCCTGACAGAATACCACACTGGTAAAGTTTAACCTCTTCATACCCTTTTCCAATCCCTTTCCACTTGCACACAGGATACATACAAACCCTATGTCTTCCTCTTCCCATCATTCAATGTACAGACTGCACTCATATTCCCCACCTCACGACTGACAATACCCATGGCAAGAAGATCCTAGTGCCCTGCTACCTACACGACCTACTCAGTTCTGTACTGAAATGATGCCAGACCGGAACCTCAAGGTACACATACGTCTCTTTCCTTTGATAACACACAAGCAGACGCAGACTCAAATCACCTCCTATCACAATCCCAGCTATCCCAAGCTTTATCCCGATTTATTCATCCACCATTCAATAGAGTTGCACTTAACACCACGAACGTTTTGCCAGCTTGGGGTGGGGGGAAGTTAAGGATGCGTGAACATTTACCTTAACTCTGAAATTTGATTTTTGCTGAACTCCACATACAGGAAGGACACGGGCTATAAATGGGCAACAATTAACTCTGTGTTAATGAAGTTTTCTACCATTTAATTTAGACTGTAGGATCTTCCGGGCAGAGACTGTCTATGTGTATTGTTGCTCCTTCTTCTGACACCAGTGTCCAGTTCTGACTTCGGTTTTACCCCTCTGCTGAGCGGCAGTAAGTGTCCAAGGCCTTGCAGATCAGAGGAGAAATCAGTGACAAGGAGTCTGGGTACACTCGAAGTGCACCTGTAACTCTTCTGTTGCTCACTCAGCTCCCTCTCTCCCAAAGCTGTGTTTACATAAAACCTTCCATAACTGAAACACTGCATGTCTCCCCAAGACTGAAAGGTTGCTTACACCTGAAACAAAAAAAACTGGGACACCTGTAACAGGGCCACCTGGGGGCACCTGCCATAACAACATATCCCATGCCTCAGACCCTGATCTCAGCCAAGGCATTTTACCACTATTGCAATTCACTAATAAATAATACTACAACTCCTGTAAATAAAATGTGGAATTGATTCTGCCACCACCTGAGTTGTTTGTGGTTGACGGGATGAACAGAGGAGCTCATTGGAGCAACTTTTCGTTGAGATATTGGAACCCAAACAGGAGACCCCCTGTGACGGGTTTGGTCACAGAGACCCCCTTGGAACTGTCACCTGACATGCTGAATTTACCTATGAGCCCTTTTTCTCTGCCAGTTTGGGCCTCCAGAACCCTGCCTTGTTGAGCCAGACACGCTAGCCTGCTGCAACACAGACTCAGGGTCTGAACCACGACCCCAAAGCTGCAGACTTAACTGAAAACAGCTCAGCAAGTATTCCTGTCTCCAGCACCCAGACACCTAGCTCCCAGGGGGATCCAAACCCCAAATAAATCCTTTTTATTCTGTATAAAGCTTATACAGGGTAAACTCATAAATTGTCTGCCCTCTATAACACTGATACAGAGATACGCACATCTGTTTGCTCCCCCAGGTATTAATCACTTACTCTGGGTTAATTAATAAACAAAAGTGAGTTTATTAAGTATAAAAAGTAGGATTTAAGTGGTTCCAAGTAATAACAGAACAAAGTAAGTTACTAAGCAAAACAAAACAAAACACGCAAGTCTAACCCTAATACATTAAGAAACTGAATTCAGGTAAAACTCACCCTTAGAGATGTTTCAATAAGCTTCTTTCACAGACTAGACTCCTTCCTAGTCTGGGCCAAATCCTTTCCCCTGGTACGGTCCTTGTCACTTCCAGCTCAGGTGGTAACTAGGGGATTTCTCATGACTGGCCGCCCCCTTTGTTCTGTTCCACCCCCTTTGATAGCTTTGGCACAAGGTGGGAATCTTTTGTCTCTCTGGGTCCCCACCCCTCCTTCTCAATGGAACCTGATACATCCATTCTACCCTGTGCCCAGGGTTCCTGCATGGACAGGTCTCCCATGATGCAGCCTCCATCCACCCATGATGCCTCATACCTGTTGGTCAGAGGAGAGTCCACATTGCACTAGGGCAGATGTAGACCTCCAGGGAGTCTGGCTCATAGAAGTATGATGACCCGAGATACAACTCCCATAAGGCAATGTGCAAATAGGGACATACAGTTGAATGAAATGTTTTGGGTCAGTTCAACCAAAAATATTCTCACACAGAGTTTTTATTTTGTGGAAGCTGCATTTTCCTTCAGGAAATCATTCCAGTGGTAAATTCTTGACCAGCTCTAGACAATAGTCT